GACCCCCCAAATAAGCTGATGAAGCAGAGATCTGCTTTACCAGCTTCTCTCCGGCTTCTGTAGCCGGGAATGACAGCTGAATGCAGAAGTCATATAATGTACATCACTCCCACATTTAGAGACCGGAGAGGAGATCAGTGGGAGATCATGTGCTGAACTCCCTCCAAACTCCGTTCACAGAGCTGTCCGGCACAGCGGTGCCTGGGAAAGGTGGAGAAGTGCGCATGCAGCACCGCAACATACAATTTCCCACTGTTTCTCGCTTGTGTGCGCTGCCTCGTTTTAAAACGTCCACCCGCATTCAAGAAGACACCATCCGGCCATTTGATTACAACAGCCAGATGGGAAGTGGTTAAAGTGGATCTGGCATATGATATTATTTCTAGGTTAAGTGCATGCATGCTAAGTACTATGTACGTGTAACACTTCTACCTCTCACAGAGATCACAGTACTCACTTTAACAATGCCTTCATCTGCTTTTCCCCCCAGAAGAATGGAACCATCTTTGTTTACCCATCATTCAGAGTCATCTCACTGGACTGGTGGCTTTTTAATGATAAAGAATGGAGCTTTTTGAAAAATTATAGCTGCTGTATGTATTGACTAGCCAGAAATGTATTCAAGCAGACTTATAAAGATAATGAAAGGTCCACATTAGACATGTGCATTCGGATTCGGATGAACCTGCAAATCAACGAAATTCAGTTGACAGTTCGTCTGAATCCGAAATAACAAATTTGTTATATGCCGAATATACTAAAACGATGTTCAGGCATATAAAAATTTGTTATCAGAACGCGCGGCAGCCATATTTTGCGCATGCCCGTCGCCATCCTGGAGGTAGGGTGCATAACGTCACGCCACGTCATGGGTGACGTTATTCGCAGAACGAGCGGTGGCCAGATCAGTCGCCAGCTTGTTCTGCGCATGCACACCGCCATTTTGGAGTATACCTTGGTATACACCAGGACGCTGACGCCCACATATTCAGGTGCGGCCATTTTGGTGTATACCAAGATATACTTCAAAATGGTGGTACACATGCACAGAACGCACTGGCGGCCGGTACGGGCTCATTGCCTGGCAATCCTAAACAGCATTAACATTTGTTTCCATTGATGAAACGAATGAAAATGGTTTTCATTTTCATTTGCTTTGTCCGAAACAAATTTTTTTGCCTGGCACATGTCTAGTCCACATCAAGGGCCTGTTCACACCATCTCCAGATCATCTACAGACCAAAACATTTTTTATCTGCATCGAAAACGCATACACAGTAAGGCCAGGTTCACACATGGGCGTTTTTCAGCGCTGATCGAAGCGCTGAAAAACGCTCAAACAGTGAAATCCCATACTTCCCTATGGGCATGGTTCCCACCTGGGCGTATTTCATCCCGTGGAAACGTGCTGAAAAACGCCCTACGCCCAAACAAGTACAGGAGCTTCGTTTTTCCGCCCGTTTCCATAACAAATCGGTAACCCCGAGCCACACTCGGGAATACAGCGCTGGACTTACCTTGTCAGCGATCCCCGCTGTGTCCTCCGGCGACTGCCAACTTCCGGGTTCCATCCCTTGCGAGAGCCTGCGTCGCAGGGGTGCGGAGCTGGTGAGAAGTTTGAAAGTATAAAAAAAAAATATAGAGAAAATAAAGGAAAATTGAAAAAAAATCATACCGCCAGTGAAACGCGCATTTCACTGAGCGGAAAAACGTGCAGAAAAACGTGCCTATGCTACGCCCAGGTGTGAATCCAGCCAAATTCCAATGCTAAAAATGAGGCTAGTTCACACCACTGCTTTCAATTCCAGGACTTTTAAAAAAGAAAGTCCAGCATGCTGCATTTTTGCTGGACTGAAATGTACAAAAACACATGTAAATGCATGCAAACACACCAGAACGCACTGCAACACAAACCAGAACCCAAGCAAAACAGATTGAGAAGAAAACATTGCACTTTAATGCATCATAAATGTGTCAAAAATACACATGGCCACATTTGCAGAAACGCATCTAGATCTGGTCTGGTATGAACAAGACCTAAGTCAGTCCGTACACCTGATATTAAGCAGATCTGTCTCATCCCTATAGCCAGCATAAGCAACGCACTCAGATGTCGGAGACTTGGCTTCGGTTTAATGTCCTGAGCCATTCTCTGAAACATCCTTGAATGTAAAGCAGCTGGACCTTACTACACATGCCCAGGCTAATGCTTCTTATATTATGCTGTAAAACTGGAGGTTAATGCCTGTAATGTTGTATGCTATGGAATATTTATAAGGTAACCAGACAGTGAGAAGGGCGCTTATGAAAAATGCATATTGCTGGTTGGTATATGTGTGTAAAGAGGCTAAACACATATACTGAGCGTCACATGATAAGCAAACAGCTCTCCTGCTACACATACATGATTACATTCAATTTCTCTCCCCTGCACTGAGCATTTTGTCACCAGGTTAGGCACTGAAGGTGTATGCTTATGAGCAGCAGAAACGTTTGTTGTCCTTCCTTTTTTTAAAGGAAATCATTAGGTTAGAAATATATAAGCTGGCAACTGACTTGTTTTGGAAGGTTCAGGGTTCAGGGCTATAATCTTTAGACTTGAGTGCTGCTTGGTTAGTCAATAACCTGTAACTCAGAACCCCATTGCTGCAAAGCATGGCACCTCATATGCATACATTTCTATGCATATCAGTTGCCATGCATTACAACATTTTGGGCTCTGGGTTTAATTTTTGCAAAGGTTAATATCTTCATGGAGTTTGTATAATGTCCCATGCATACCATCTCCCCAAAACACAATGGTAGGTCAAAGTTGATGTAAACCCTAATTTAATGACATTTAGTTAGCCAAAGCACTGTGCAAGATAATTGATTGCCCTCTTTTTTAATATACTGCATAGAAAAGGGCATTTAAAAACGGTATGGTCCAGCCAAGGCATCCTCTGCCTGTATTGTTGGAGCTGCAAGACCTGACTTATATAGGACATTGTTCATTGGTTTTTCCCATCTTCCGATCCAAGGCTACCACTTCTAGTATGCTCATGGATTTTACTGTTTCATTTGTTCTGTTTTTGTAATAGAATACTGTTTTCACCATTTTCTTTATCCTTTGTTGTATCAGTGTTGCTGATCTCCAGCAGCCTTTTTTTGCAGCCACTTCCTGTCTAAATACATTCCTCCGATGGCTGCATGGCATTTCTCATGACAGATTAGTGAGAACGGTGGACTGTGCCTGCATGATGTGTTAAAACAGAAACTCGTACAGTAATTTCTTTTGGAGGCCTGTATTTAAAAGTGACAACTTAGGAACACAATTGGGAGACAGTGACCGAGCTTGTCACCCGTAACAGGAAGTGCGTGTGCAAGGACCTTCTAGGTGGGATCAACAAGTGTTATTTTATTCAAAACCCAAGTGATTGGGTTTGCATATAGGTTATAAGCTTCTACCAAACTGGCCCTGCTGCGTGTGTGACTGTGGTAGGGGCATTAGATTGATAGCTTTGTGAGCGACACTACATACATGGGTAAAATAAATATTATAGTCAGTAGTAAGAGGAACAAAATAAGCTACCCTACAAATATCACTCCTGAATGTTTACATTTACCTCCAAAAAGTAGACGGGTAGCATATCCCCCAGTTTCTGAGTTGGGAAAGTGGAACGTGTTTTTAATGCTAATATATCGAGGCAATCGACAAGCCTTTGCTACACCTATCATGCAAAACCATAAATAATTAATGAGCAAAAGACACATTGTCTTGCATGTACAATTGCCTAACAATTATCAACATCATCAAAATGAAAAAGGATACTAACAGAAATGCAACACTGGCGCTTTTGTAAAAACTAAATATTCCCATTGCACACATTCCAGGGCAGGAACTGAAGTAAGGGGGTGCTGTAGCAATTGCCAGCAGGGTCACTGATATCAACATGGATAAGAATATACATCGCCATACACCCCATGGATCAGTAATCAATAGTCATGAGCAAGGACTGAAGTAAGGGGGTGCTGTAGCAACTGCCAGCAGGGTGACTAGTATCAGCTTGAATAAGAATATATGTCATCAGCATCTCATGGATCACTAATCAAATGTCCCGAGCAAGGCCTGAAGTAAGGAGGTGTTGTAGCAACAGCAAGCAGGGTGACTGGAAGCAGCATGGATATGAATATATGTCACTAGCATCCTTTAGATCTCTAATCAAATGTACTGAGCAAGGCCTGAAGTAAGGGGGTGTTGTAGCAACTGCCAGCAGGGTGACTGGTATCAGCATGGACAATCATAATATAGTATGTCACCAGCACCCCATGGATCAGTAATCAATAGTTCTATGCAAGGCTTCAGGTAAGGGGGTGTTGAAGCAACTGCCAGCAAAATGACTGGTTGCGGTGTATATAGGAATATATGTCACCAGCACCCCATGGGTCAGTAATCAATAGTCAGATCCTTTGTTGAAAGCGATCACATCACAAAAATGCTTGACGAAGGTGTCCTGCGTGGTCTCAAAGCATTACTCTTGCCCTTTTTGTGATGTGATCATTTTCAATAAACGCTTGGACTATTGATCCATGGTGCGCTGGTGACATATATTCTTATCCTTTTATAACCACCGTCTTTCTTTTATGCTTGAAAATTAAAAATAAGCAATGCAATAAATTAGAGGCTGGTCTTGTAAGGTCTGGACCATTGTCAAAATATTTATCACATGCTATATAACCTAGATATTTAATCATTAAATAAAAACCTCTGCACCCAATAAGAAGGGACAGGGAGATTGGATTTCAAAAGAGAGACAGTCATAAAGTAAGCCTTTTAAAAATCCAATACAATTGTGCCAATTTCCTTTGTTTACCTTGTAATTCAAAAACAGGAGTAGCATTTTCCACTCTCCCCAATAACACACTTATACTGCTGGTGCTACTGCTAGAATAATGGGTGTCGTTCAGCTTTAAGGAACTGTATAAGACATTAGCCTCACGTTGCATAAGTGACGTCATCTGTTCTTGGCTGAAGCCCTTCTGTATTCTGTCTCTGGTTTCCAACCAAGGCTGCGGGTTGACTGTATGCACAAGGCACAGATTCCCAGGTGAACTGATCAACTGCCTTTTCCTTTATTCCTATTAATTGCAGAATGCTGATCTCACAGTAATTCCATTTCACACAGCTACTGTGCTTAATGATGGCTATTCCAGTGCTGCTGATCTGAATTAGATGCAGATTTGCACCTCCTCGGTGCTGCATGCATTATTTTTTTTAATTTGTCGATGTTTAAAGCCTGCCTGCTTGCTGGTTTGCTGTATTTAGTCCGGATCAAGCTCTGTACCGTTCACCTTGTTTAAAGCAAAAAGGATAAATATCAAGATTGCTAAGCCCTATCTTTCCCCACTGCTTGATCTGATCTTGGATGTATTGTTGCTGAGACGGGGAGGATAAGATAAAATCTTGGATTATTTGGCAGCATGAACCAGGCTGCAATCCTAAACCCTATTTAAATAAAGCTTTGAGGCACCCTTTAGTAGCTGTTGATACAGCTATTTGCGTTTAAAGGGACTGAAAAGGCTGTTAGATTGAACACTGCTGTCCATGGTGCTGAAATCTTTCCCTCCTCTCTCTCCCTCTCTCTCCTCCTCCCCTACCTCACCTTCCATTTCAGAGGAGACCAAGAGGAGCGTTTCAGAGGATGAGACACAGGAATACAAGAGTAAAGAAATCTTTCAGCTGATGATTATATGCTTGCTGACAGTCAACACCCAGAGCAGTGAATGGAAGAGCAGGGTGGAATCTCAAGGTTTGATGTACATGTTGTGAAACAAAGGAACAGTCTGCTTGCCCACAGGGAGATTGCTTCCAGAGACACAACAGGGAGTCCAAATTGCTTTGCTGAGGGCGATCTAGCCCTGTGTAGCTAGACACCCAACACTGCACATGGTATGACCAATGCCGAGAGGTAAGTGCATGGTGCTGCTGACCATATTTTTTGCAAAGAGGACACGGTGGGGGTTCAGGTTTCATTTGGATATTGCATCTGTTTTGCTCAAGTTCCATCTCTTGTTCCCTTAAGGAGACTGTTTACAGGCAACCTGCTGTCAACATTACATCGAGGCCATCAGACTGAAAAGAGAGGTGGCTTGATCAACCATGATTCACTTTCTGAGCAAGGTACTTCATTTTGGAGGTCAGTTGGTAGGCTGAAGTGTGAAGACATCATTATTTTCTTTTTTCTTTTATTTTATGGGGCGTTGGGTTCAAACTAATGACTTACCAGCTACTGACATCAACCAGAACTGATAAATGCAATGCTTGGATTGGATTTTATGAACGTCAAGGTTTGAACGTGATTCTCCTGGCTCCTATAGCAGAGCCTGTGAGTTCTGTTTGGCCTCCAGCACAAAGACTACCATCCTTTGAGAAAATGTTGATGGCTCTGTGAGAAGGAGAATGGCTGCTGGAAGATTACTCCTCTATGCTGGACTGTCCCTAGCCCTGTGTGCTCTGGGCATGCTAGCCGTAGCGATCTGCTCCGACCACTGGTACGAGACAGATGCCAGACGGCATCGGGAAAGGTGCAAAGGCTTCACAAATAGAAGAATTGACCCAGGCTTCATTTATAACTCCAACAACAATCTTCCGCTTAGGGCTAGCAGGTCAAAACTAGACCGCTGGGAAGGAAAGTTACTTCTAGCCAGGAACAGGAGGCAGCTTTTTGCAATGAGCGCTGCTGATGAGTGCAATAGACAATATAATTCCACCAACATGGGCCTGTGGAGGAAATGCCACCGGCTGGGCTTCGATCAAGACATAGAAGATATAATTGCCAAAGGTAGGAGTTATGATATGTTTGCATGATTTTGCACTAGGAATATTGCATCACTGCATATACTCATATTGTATAGAAATACTGTAATATGTTGCAATCATGTTCCAACTATCTGATCCGTGCTGCAAATCTGCCTTCGGTGCTGAAAGTCATTTTATCATTTGCTTTTGGACCCTCTTGTCAATTATTTCCCTATTCAAAGTCATATGAATGTCTTGTCTTTTGGTTCTGGCCTTCATCTACTACTAGAGAAGATGGCATTGTGTTGCATTCATTTTGGATTAGACTTTGATATACTTTGTAGAATGCTGCAAACACGGATGAAAAATGAGACAAAAGTGTTGTACCTAGCTACCATTGTGATTCTTACACTTGGTTTTATAGGGCAAGTAAGCACAGAAGTCCGCAATCTCATTTTAGTTGGGGCCCAGTATGTAAGAATCGGTGGCAGTCATTCTACATCTATGTGCAAGTTGAGCTATACTCACAATGGCTGCTGTTTGTAGGCCTGGTTTTGACTGACGTTGATATGAAAATTGCAGTTCCTAAGCAAATGATGGTTCCCCTAGTATCTTTCATGCTTTCATGGAAAAAGAAGAAATACCTAGTTTGGTAAACTATTTTTTATTACATTTTTGGATAAAATGCACACCGCTTCGGCTATCAATGTATCATCATTCCGGGACCTGCTAAAGATTTCTGCATATCTGATACATTCAGGACCCTAGAAACAGACTCCTTGGCCATACTGGGGTTCCAGATTACAGTTCAATGGCTGATGACCTCTGGGTAGAGAATGAAAAGTTAAAGGGCCACAAAATGTACTGCATGTTATGTAAATAACATTTTAATAGCATCAATGGATACATATGTAAAAGTTCAGGATCAAAAGAATTATAAACAATTTGCAGAAAGACATACGCTATTTACTTATATCTATACTTCAGGTTTTAGGAGGGAGATCTGTGGAGGGGACAGAGGGATTAGGGCCAAGAAGAGGGACCAAGAGCTATGCAATAAGCAGTATATAGGTACATAAATGAGAAATACTCCCTTTTATGTGTGGGTATGGGGACTCCTACATACTTCTGAATTGTATCTTTCACATAAAATAATACTTGCTTTATGTTTACTGGTCTTTCATTTGGTTGCTATGGGGAACCTATTGTTTTTTTAAACATGGCTCATAAATGATCTTTGCTGTTTCTCTGGCTTCATGCATCCAGAGTCACTTTGTTTGGGGGTCCATAAAGGGTCGGGTTATTTTGTATTTCTTGAAGATCTCTATGTGTGATACTTTCAGAAAACAAAATTATGATTTAAAAGTGAAGCATATTACTGTTGTACGGTATAGTTTTTTTAATATGCATAAGTGTTAAGGTTTAAGCATGCAGATGACGCCTCCGTCTCCTTCTAAAGCACTTTACATGTTTATTGGTCTCCTTTGCTCTTTACTATCTCTGGCTGGTCTACTCTAAATGGTTTTAGTGTTTGGAGTGGCTATACAACTATCATTACATGGTTTAGCTTGGACTGATTGTGAGTCTCACTTAGCCCCTATCACAACAAAATGTATGATTCTGAACAAAAATGTTCTAGGCCAAAGCTTGGCCAACCCTCAGCATTCTGGCTTTTGTAGATGCTCCAAAATTTAAGGCAAAGCTTGCCCTTCCCTCTACAAAAAAACAAACCATGACTTGGCCTAAGAAGAAATCTTAATATGCTCTCTTAAATTATTTTAAGTGTTCACTCTTACTTATGAAATATTTGCTTTGTCTGGGCCTAATATTTTGGTGGAGTGTCAAGAGTCAGAGGCCAAATGATGTCTGTCAGTTGCTGCTTGTCACCTGCCAGACCTCAATTGCCTCTCCTAGCTCCTAAGCGTACATAACAGAGCCATAAACAGGAAATGCCCAAAACTGGTAGGAATGAAAAAGATTAAAAATGACTATCATGTAAACATCAACATTTTACTGATTGTATCAGATTTTTGTTATTGGGCTTACAAATATTTAAAGTGTATGTCCAGCCCAAAACTTTTTTCCCTTAGTTTTGGATAGAGTGTGGAAAGTTTGGGACTCCTGACAAGTTTTTACTGCTATCTGGGGTTCTGGTTGTGTTTGGGTCTCACCAGGGCTGTGTGCAGGTCTCGCCTGGCTTGCATTTGGGTCTGCATGTGGACTCTCCAGGGCTATACAGGTGGGTGCCGGGCTCTCCAGGGCTCTGTATCAGTATCGGGACATCCCTAATAAAATACCAACTGTTGTACTTTGGTGGTTTCTTTAAAATAGAGAGTCAATCTCTGAGATGTACTAAATATCACCCACCTCACTGCTGTATAATGTATGTTACAATTTCATCAGTCATGTGACGCCATGATACTCTTAGTTATGCTTTAATACACAGCGGTTTTTTTCCTGAATTCTAGGCAAGCAACTAAAAATACAGTTGAAATGAATTTATGTTTTACCTTCCAAAGGATCTGCAGCATTGTGTGGCCAGTCTTCTGATTAGGGATGAGCAACATTCAGAGCTTTCACTTTTACATACATTCAACCAAAAATTGGGATGTTTTGGTGAAATGTATTAGAGTCAACGGGGAAGGTGAAAATAAAGTAGTATTAAACTCCTGCATTTTTTTTAATAATGAATCCAGATCAAACACACATACATTTCCTAAGAAAGCGTTTCTTTACATGTTTGCCTAAGAACATACAGTCATCATGTTTCCAAACAGCTCCAAGTCTCTCTGCTCTGCTTTCAGGAACTTCCTGTCCAGTACCAGATCACAAGGGACGGAGCAGTTTTCCGCAGCTGTCCATCTACTAGCTTAGAGAAGGGAGGAGAGACGAAGGAGGAGCGGGTAGGAATGGAATGGCTTGTCTTGCTGCCCCTGCGCGATTGTGGAGACAAACACAGCTTACTAGCACACACAAGGGTGGCTCCATATGAACCTGCAAGGGAAAGGGTAAAGGAGCCACCCTAAAACAGGCTATCTAGGCCAGTGCTCAGGGGACCAGCTGATCCTGCAGGAAAATAAAACTTTTAACCATCAAGGAGCAGCGTCCATTGTAAGTGATTTCATCAGCATTTGAAAAAACTCATAAACCTTTAGACTTTAATATCACTTTAAGCTGGTTTTAAGTGGTTTTTTAATGGTATAATGGGTCTTAAATGGCTCACAAGTGCTAATGAGCTTTCTTAAATGTTGTTATTTCTTTTAAAAGTTTCTAAAATGTTAAACTTTTATTATTATTTTATTTTCCAAAATGCATGTCTTTCCAGTTTCACATTGAGTGAGCCTTGAGAGGAACACAGTGTCAGATGGGTTTGTTTGTTGCTGAAGCCATGGGGGCACTATGTCACAGCTGGCATTGTGGCCACGTAGCTTTGTTTGAAAATAAAGCCATTGGGAATATTTTATTTTTTTGTTCAAGTGAGCTTCTCCTAAGCAGTGTACAGGATGACATTTGAGGATAACTTTGACATAATTGCAACTAGGCCACTAAGCACACGAGGCCACATTCATGCATTTAAACGCCCGCACAAATGTTTCCCCGTGTACCATGTAGAACATGTTTAAAATCAGCCCTTGGACGCAAAATTCTACTTAGCCCTGAATACTTCTATATTCAAACCTGTGTAAGTATGGATACCAGTATGGATCTGAACGTAGCAGTTCCTATGGCGTATGCATGAGCTCTATTAGTGCTGGCTCTTTCTCTCCCAGTCTGAGTGTGCTGTGCATAGGATGCTATATAGTGTTGCCACCTGTCTGGGATTCATCCGGACTGTCCGGGATTTGAATGCTGTGTCCGGGTTTCATGGCAGCTGAAACCCGGACACAAGATGTCAGGGAGACAGGGGCAACCAAAATTAAGATAGGGGCTACTGGCCCCCCACTGAAAATGGTCCCAACTGTGATATTTACATATGAATAGGTGGCGCTATTTACATATAAATAAGCCGCGACTCATTCTCCCAAAATAAATTCCGTGCGTCGCTAGTGTTCGTGTTTTCGATTGAAGAAAAGGTGGCAATCCTAGGTGCGTACACTGCATGTATTGAAATATTTTTCAGTATCTATGAAGTTCAGCTTTTTATACATGGTTCAATATTCAATGTAAGTTTAAAATTTTTTATTTTAACCACTTGATGACCTGGGTGTTAAACCCTTTTCCTGTCCAGGCCATTTTTCAGTATTCAGTGCTGCGGTATTTTGACTGACTTTTGTTCCGTCGTGCAACGCTGTACTGAAATTAATTTTATTCCTTTTTTGGGGGGCAGATAGAGCTTTCTTTTGGTGGTATTTAATCACCACTGGGGGATTTATTTTTTTACTATAGTAAGGAAAAATTACCAAATATTTTGAAAAAAAAAACGTTCCCTTATATTAAGTTATGAAATATTTATTATTACCCAATTTTTTGGTAAAATATAAAAGACGGGGTCACGTCGGGTAAATAGACACCAAACACATCAAGCCTTAAAATTGCACGCACCTGCAAAACCGCAAGAAACTACAATACCAAAATTGGCCCTAGGCAACAATTTAAAAGCTTTTACCGCTCATCAGTTAAGTGTTATCAGTGATTGATGACCCTAAAATTATTGCTAACGCTCCGACATTCGCGGTGATATGTAACATGTGTAGCGCAATTGTCTTTTTCGCGCGTTGGCGCACCAGACGTGCATTTACGTTTATATGTGCATATCTGTGGGTTTTTTTTTACTTTTTTCTATTTTAACTTTTTTTTACCGTTAATGTTATTGCTATCACATAGGGGGATAACAATCCCCCTATGTGATAACACAGGCACTCTGACAGGTCCTCTTTATGGAGACATTAGAGGTTTCTAAGACTCATAATTTGGAAGTCCACATATTCAGCACTCCATCCAAATAATGTGTAGATTTGGTTCAGTCACCGACCAGCTTGTTATATCTCTCAATGATCCCTGTGTCCCCACCGTTGCCCACCTGTCATTATGAGGGTGTCCCAC